TAAAAATAAAGGAATCTTGCAAATCTCTAATAAAAACTTTAAAAAATTTCTAATTAAATTTGAAAAACACAAAATTTATTCATCATATACTTCCACTGTAATAACTAATTTTAGGAAGTTTTTCAGGTTCTGGTTTACACGGTTTTACAACAGCTACTGGCAGTGTCGAGTTTTGAAACTGTTGTAATGTTTTGCTTTTTGAATCCATTTACTAAACAAAAAAAAATGTAAACGCGCTTTATATACCCATTGTCGCGCTACATTAAACAGATTAACATTTTTTTAGAATTAATTATTGAGAATCGAGAGTCTTAATTATTCGACAGTCTGACTGACTCGAGAATCGAGAAAAACGGATCTGAATTTTTCTGAACGGTTCTAAAAGTGGTAAAGGGGTAGATCATCAGACGTCATTTATACTCGATGATTCTGTCTATAATGTTTATATTTTTATAATGATTCTGTCTATAATGTCTATATTTTTATATTCATTTATAATGTCTATATTTTATAAATTAAAGATCGAATTACCATCTACAAATATGCCCTCGTACGGTTTGACTTGTTCTTTCTGTTCCATTTCAGGTTTGCAATATCTGTAGATGGCTTTACCAACATGAGCATAGATTGCTTCCATTTTGTTATTAGTTAGTTTTAAAAAATACAATAAGTTTAATAATACAATAAAAAATATATAAAAAAATTGTAATCAATGTCCATAGGTTTTTTTACACCGTTCTTGACTCTAATAACTAATTCTCTAAGATTGTGTTTAAAATTAAAGCTATTATTTTTCTGTTCTTTGTCGTTTAGCCATTTTCCTTCCGGATTAACTTGAAAAAATAGCGTAATTACTCGACATATTTTTAAATAAATTCTATTGTATCGTTGTCAATAGCATCAATAACATACTTATGCATATTTAAATAATTAGCAAATTGCTGCCAATAGGCTTGAAGATAGTATGACAAGATATTTGTTAATTCGTTTTCACTCATTTTATATAATTAAATCTATAAATAATAAAAAAATGTTGTTTTATGAACATATACCAACAAAACAAAATTAAAAAAACAATGCCTCGCTTAAGATATACACCTAGATCAACATATAATACTAGATCAAAAACTACTTAAGATAAACAATTGATTTTGTACGTACTACCACAAACTCACAACATACACAAACAGAAAGTAGAGGGTTGCCAAGGAATTGCAAAAATATATTAGTATGTTTACGAAAAACTAAAAAAGCATATAAAGATAACGAATCTAATCGTAAATTGGGACGAGTTGGTAAAAAAGTAAAACGATGGAAATTGTCAAACGAAGCTTACGTTAATCGAAAACAAAAAAAATGCAGCATTAAAAAACAAAAAGAAAAAATAAATTTATTTACAAAAGATAAAAAACATTTATTTACAATTCTGTTTGTTTTTTATGTCATCATAATCTTTTTTAGTTTTTTTATATAAATAATTACTTTTTTTTTTTACGATATTTTTTCAATTTGTATATTCTCTTTTTCTAAAATAAAAAAAAACGAGTAAAAAATAATTTTTTTAAAGATAAAAATAATAATTTTTTTTATAACTATAATACCTTTTTTTGAAAATGACTTGAATTGACTTGAAAATGAGTGGTTTTTTCCATTGATCCTGATTTTGTTTGTTCTTTTATCATTTTTTCGTCTTATGTTTTTTTATCGTGTGTTTCCATGAAATTATTCATGGCCTAATCGACAGATAAAAATTAGATTTTCTGATCATCTTTAATAATGATTGTTTCGATTGGAACTATGTTTTCAGACATGTTTCCATTTACAAGTTTTGTAATTGCTATTTGATTTTTGTTATAAAAAATGCTACTTTTATTCAAAAATAATTAATCCTTACAAGTTAAGTTAAATAAGAGATTTTTATGACAAACAAGTTATATTTAGAAACTTTTAATCTTGCTTTTTACGTTGAATCAAGTAGAAAATTTTTTAATTATAAAATGTGCGTAAACAAGTTTTAAAAAAACCTGTGAAAAAAAAATCTTTGCGTAAAGTGTTAAAAGGACAATTTAAATAAATTCAAAACACGCTTTAACAACTCGTCGACGTAGCCAAGTGCATGGTATCATTTCCGCACTAAGATGTAAACTGCCATTAACCGATCGTCTAGTGTTCGAATCTCTTTATAACTTTACGGCTTTAACATTATATGTATAAACACATTTAGCAATCGCTTGATGATTGTTTGTCTAGTTAACTTAGTTATATGTTAACCACATTGAGTTTAGGTGACGTCATTGATACTCGATGATTTTGTCTATAATGTCTACATTTTTATAATGATTCTGTCTTTAATGTCTATATTTTTATATTCCTTTATAATGTCTATATTTTTTAAATTAAATATCGAATTAACATCTACAAATATGGCCTCGCACTGTTTGACTTGTTTTTTCTGTTCCATTTCAGGTTTGCAATATCTGTAGATGGCCCTATCAACTTGAGCATAGATTGCTTCTATTTTTTATTACTTAATTTAAAAAAATATAATAAGTTTAATAATACAATAAAAAATTTATAAAAATTTTTAAATTAATGTCCATGGGTTTTTCTACACGGTTTTTGACTCTAATCATTAATTCTCTAAGATTGTGTAATAAATTCAAATAAATTTTTTTTGTGATAATAATGTCAAGCAATAGATCAACCGGTTTTTTGGCTTTATCAGGTTGGATGTGATTAGTTGAATCCAGAGAAGAGATTGATAAAAAGTCTTTATAAAACAATGCAGCTTTGTCTTCAGGTGAGGTGACAAAGTCTGAACCATACAAGAGAAGCGGAATAACAGATTTGTCTTTATTATAGATACTGTTAAAGATTCTCCAAATGTAAAGAGAGCCTAATTTTTGAGATAAAATATGAGATTTCGTAAAAGAATACCGGGCTTTGGCATTAGACAAAACCTTTTTACAACAATTTCTAACAATAGTAAAAAGACATCTGTTTTCAGGAGAATTCTTTTGCTGATATATATGGAAGTTATGGTTTCGATTTGAAATTGCAGTAGCACAATGTAAGGAAAACCATATAAAAGAGTGAGGCTTGACTTGGAATTGTCAAAAGGGAATAAAAGGTTCCATGATAGCCTGAATCCAAGAAGATTTGTTAGAAACACATTTGTTAGCAGGAAGACAAAAGATTTCTACCCAAGGGCCATCACGAAGAAAGTCACGGAATTAATTATGATATAGGGATTCAGATGATGAAGAAGAATGAGAGGTACCTAAGGTTAAATGTGGAGAAATTGAGCACTGACTAGGATCAGAAACAAGCCATAAGTTGAGTAGAGAAGGTAAATGATTTAAGTTGTCAGGAAAGTGAGTTGGAAAGTTGACTATTTGAATTGGAGATTGAGAAAGGCAAAAGTTTTGGACTTCAACGCCTGCAGAGTCACTGACACTAGAGCTAAGTCATTCTGTTTGATGAGCACATCAACAACAACGATATTGGCTGATGGATAAAGAGAGAGGGCTTGATCAATTTGATCAGAAATAACAACAAAAAGAGTGCAGTCTTGAGATAAAAGAGAGCTATGTAGAACAAAGAAAAAGGCAATTGAGTGAAGTGGTGCTAAACAAAAGTACATAAAAGAATAGTCTGTGGATTCAAATTTAGTTTCCTGACAAATGTGTGACTTCTTACAATTGTAAATGTCCAGACCAAGTATGTGACTATTGGTGTCTTTACGAGTTAAAGGAACATAACCATCAACATTAAGATCACAAGATGAAGCACTAAGAAACTCACAATCTCTCCTACCAACCTAACCTAAGATAACAACAAAAGAAAAACTGTACACTCAAAATAATCTGGTACAATCCTCTTTTTAGTATAAATGTTACCATAAAATGCTTTTTAAACTTGATTACAATATACTTTATTAATAACCACAATTTACATAATATTTTAACAAGAACACTGTAAACATCAGTTACATGTCAAACATGAAATGTTTGAAGCATGTCAAACATGAAATCAGTAAAATCTTTACACAACATTCTAAACAAAAATTTCTTTTGAATAAAACCATCAATAAAAATAACTGAAACTGCCTTAATAAAAAAAAATTGCCCATGTTTCAATAACTGCTTGACCAATAATATTGTATATCAAGCAACTATCACTTCATATAACCCTTCAATCAAAAAATCATACATTGATATAAGTGAAACAAGCTTTATACTGAGATAACCATTTAAAATTATTCAACATTCCCAAATATAAAAGCAATACAGAACTATCAAGAGAATTTTGGAAATTAAAAGATAATAATAAAAGTTCAGTGCTTAGTTGGAAAATAATAAGACGATGTGAAGTGTGATGTGATGTATAACGTGACAACAAAATTGTGTGAGTTATGCCTTAATGAAAAATATGAAATTATTTCAAAAAATGAAAACAGTTTATCAAATAAAAAATATAAAATAAAATGTCAACATGAGTAAAGTCCACTAGTCTATTAGACTAGGGCATCATGTAATCAATTTTTAAAGTCAAATCCCACTGCATTACTTTATTTGTATTTTTACTTAGTATTTTTATTGGTTTTTAAAATTTCTTGGTTTAAAAAAATATATGGCTGATGATTGCTACCAGGCATGAAACTCTAAGTACCAACAAAAGTTGTATTTTTTTCATTTTAATATTTTAGATATATCTATGATATAAAACATTTGTTTTCATAATACAGATTACTGTTAAATGAACAATTTGAATAATAATTGTACATTATTATTCAAAATAATAATGTACAAAAAATTGTACATTATTATTTTGAATAATAATGTACAATTTTTTGTACATTATTATTCAAAAACATTTTGCAATATATATATATATATATATATATATATATATATATATATATATATATATATATATATATATATATATATATATATATATATGCAGTAATAAATGGCATTAATTTTTACTTTTAGTTGCAATTTTATTTTAGACAAAAAAATATTGTGATTATGTTTTTACATTTATATTTGGAATTGAAGTAATCTTAAAGGTATGTTTTAGTCTTCGAAATATTTTTATTTGTTACGTGTAAATCCACATTACTTAAATTTTAAATATGATTACCATCTAGCATGATCAATTCTCTAAAAACAGATTTCATTAACCATTTTGTAACACCATTTTGTTTCTCTTTTTAGCTTATTGGCTGTTTAATGCAAACTTTTGATTGACTGAATAATAGTAATAGAAAATCTCAGTATTTAGCAAGAAAAACATCAATGCCAACCAAAGTTAATTTTCAAATTACCAAAGTTAAGTTTCCAAATACCAAATCCAATACCAAAGTTAAGTTTCAAAACAAAGTTTCTGTTATGTTATGTATTAAACAAAGTTTCAAAACTTAAATAACATTTACTCTACATTATTGTAGAGATAAAGTTAGATATAAAATTTATTGTGCATTATTATAAAGAAAAATCTCAAAATTAATCTAGGGAAGAGTGGAAAATTTAAAGAAAAGGCAGGTTTTTATTTAAAAGGTAAACAAATTAATAATTATAACCTAAATAAAGCATCCAATGGTCCAAATCGCATTTCAGAAGAATAATTGTTTTAAATCTCATCCTTAAGCGTCAATAAATTGTTTTGAATCGAAATTGGATCTCCTAGTAATATATTTACATAAATCTCTTGAAAATTGACTGTAAGTATTAAAAGAATTGGTTTTTAGAATTTTTAATGACACAATGGAGTACTATTTTACAGTTTTAGGGTATCCCAAAAATACTTTATCATGTTACTTCATTCTTGTTAATAGAAAATAATCATTTTTTGTTTTAGTATCAACTTGTTTTTTCATAAACTCTGTTTAATGTAAAGAGCCTATGGACTGTAGTTTACAAAATAATATTACCAATAGACACATTGAATAAGATACCTTAAAACTTATCAACTTTAAAAACTAATAAATTACTTTGTCATCAAAAAAGCACACATTTCAACCCCTTGCATGCCTAATGGATCAAATAATATAATTTTTTTTTCAAAACATAGCTCTATTAGTAACTATTTTACCATATACAACTTAAAAAATGCCTCCACAATTAAGATATTTTATGGTGCCCATCTTTCTCCTACATTAATAGCAATAAAAGTAATTGAAGTTTGCCTCATATTTAACCATAAAGATTACAAAACAGATGAAGCCAGTGCTAACTTGACAACAAAATTGTTTTATAGGAAGTTGTATTATACCTAGTGCAATAAAAAGCAAATGTTAAAATTAGAAAACAAAAATGATAAGACAGTTACCATAAATGAGGAGCATATGTGTTTTATCTCCACAGTTGCGCAACAGCAACTTTGGAGACAAAATACCTATGCTCCTCATTTTTACTCATTAAATCATTTAATTTTAAAGATTTTGGTTTTATCGATCTTAATAATTAGTTTAAAATGAAATTTTAAAAAAATCCCATGAAATTTATAGTTTATTATTTGTAATCATAAATGCATGAAATCATTTTCTTAAAGGTTATCAAATGGGGTTATCAGCCCTTGGAATTTAGTTTGGCATTTGGCAATGCTGACCTAACTGCCAAGCTGAAGTGGGTGGTAATAATAATAACTTAGTGTCAAAATTTTTTTGCCAACCTTTTGCCAACCTCTAACAGTGGTTGGCAAAAGGTTGCCAAAAAAAAATTTTGGTTTATAGTGCGCAAAAAATTGCTGACCTGGTTTTTCCTAATTCCCAGGGTTGAGTAATAAAAAATCACAAATGCAAAGTGTGATAAAGTGTTAAAAAAAAAAAAAAAAAAGTCCTTAAAAGTCTAAAAACTTCTAAAACAATAAGTATATGTATAACTTACAATAAATAAGTTATGAAACCTGATGACCACAAGAAATCCATAAAAGATAAACATAAGTATGGATTAGTTGATAGATCAATATTCAAATAAATTTGTTTTTAGGTTTATTTTTAGAAGCTATTATTATATATATATTTTAAAATTTGAAGAATAATAGTAAAAAACTCAGAAATTTTTGTTACTGTTTTCTCAATAAAGGTTCCAATCCCTAAATAGGAATTGGAACTAGTATTAATACTACTAAAACAAAAATATTGGGAAAAAATGATTTTTATTCCTAACCCATATCATTAATTTGCAAGTTTTAATTTACTCAATTTTAACTCTTTTTACTTCCATAAGGAGTACCTCTTGTTTAAGAATTTTTACTGCTTTGTGACTCAATTGAAATGAGTTAGCACTTTTCGAAGTCAATTAGTCAAGAAATATCACATCCAAAGCCCTGTAAGTTTTCAGACTAGTGGACTTTACCAATCAGAGTATTAACAGTACCACATTGTACATTTAGTTTGAATTATTGAAGCCACAACAAGTCTTTTGTTATAGCTTTGGGTTGATGTACAAGAATGATGCAAATTCTATAGGTTATTACTTTGTCAAATACTACCAATAAATACTACTACAAGTTGTTTAATTGTTTTATTCTATTGAAATTGTTTTTTTCTATGAATCTTTTACAAACGTGATGTTTAAAGAAATTTTATATCCATAATAATCTTCCCTTTTGCAAAATTTACCAAACCTTTTTGCTCTTTGCATAATTAATTTGAGGTCAGTTGCTTCATTTTTGTTAAAGGTGCTTTTGTATAATCTTATGTAATTTCATTACCAAAAGCATGTTAAAAATTTCATTTATCATAAATGTATGATATTGTTACTTCTCTCAAAGATAAGGCAGATACATTTGCAAAGAACATTTTTTTTCTTGAAGCTCTAATGACCACACTTTTCCTATCATTCCAGAGAAACAGATTTTTGTTACATTCTAATTATTCTAGCTTCTGCAGCTAAATTTTATTTTCACTTAAATTTTTTTATAGCTTATGGTCTTCACAACATTTTTGTCATTATCTAACAAAATCTAGTAAAGATGTGCTGAACTGAATCTTGTTTTTGTGCATGCTGGAAAATTACATCTGTAGTTTCTCTGAAAATGGGTTTAATCATTTTAACTGTTTCCTAATAAGTTTTTGTACTTTTTGATTGTTGATTAAAGTCTTTAATAAACAAAAGCCAAAATAAGCCTTTGATAAACAAGCTTTTAAAAATTTATTATGATCCCAACAATTGTTTGGTCTCTTACAATCAATGCTGATCTGTATTCTCTCATTCCACTGCTGCTTTATAACAGTATTAATAGGTTTTATTTTGTATTAGATGAAAGTTAAAAGGCAAGGTTTATCAATTCCAACATATCATGGATTTTTGATAAAGTTTGGCATGTTTTTCGTTTTTATAAGCTTATTTTATATAGTGTATCTCTGTAAGTTTTTAAGCCTTCAAATTGCAGTATTAAAGTTTTATTTGATGGACAACTATTTTTATTTTCAGTATTTCTGGGATAACATAAGGTTTCATTCTTGGAACTTATTTCCTGAAATCATTCTGTTAATGCTTCTATATTTGCAGAGAACACAGCTATTCGAGTCATATTTTTTTTTACTTTAGTCATACTCAGCATCATACTACATCAAAAAGCTCACCAGAAGAGCATTTGACTAGGAACTTCATTGCTCCTTCCCAGTCTCTGTTTGAAATTTACTGACAGTACATACAAAAGTGCTGGCCAGACAGTTATTATTTGTCTGTCGTGTGTGATTTTAAAAGATGTTTGTTTTTTATACCTTTTTAATTAGAATTTGATTAAGAAAAAAGATTTGTTGCAATTTACAAACACACTTGAAATCTTTGGGCAAGCGCTTTAAAAAACGCCAACCGAAGTATTGGCAGGTGTGTGGGCGACCGCAAAACTGCAAGAGCGTGAAAGCCCTTGTCGATTGGAGAAAACTGCTTTCCTAACCAATCTTGCTTATCTGGTCAGAGTCTGCAACAAACCTAGAACCACTTGGGTCTTGATTCTGAGCTAGAACTCTAATTACTGTGCTACAGCTGAATTTAATAAATTATAAATTGAATAAGTTATAAATTTTGATAAAACAATAGCATTTAGAAAAATCTGTTCATAAGTTGCAGAGAACATTATTTGTATAGTTAAATATTGCATAATAATTAATCTATATATGATACATAATGAAGAGTTAATCCGTTTGCTTGATCTGTTTTAATCATTATGTTTGTTAATTTTGAAGGAATTTAGACATGTTGATGATTGAAAGATTTAAGACAATTTATTTGTTGCATAACTTTTTTGACTATTTAGATGTTTCATGAATATTTCGATCATTTATTAAAGCTGTTTAAAAATAGCAAAGCTATTGTAAATTATTATAAATATTTTTAGGTAATAGACGATGGATTTATTTTACACAAAGGAGCTTATATACGCAATCCATGGAATAAACTTGATGCTTTGATTTTTGTGTGTAATTTGTCATCAGTAATTTTGTATGTTTTTTTTTAATTTTTATTGTGTACTTTAAAAATATTTTTTGTAGTATTTGTTAGATAATAGAATAATATTGAGTATTGAAGAGATAATAAGATTATTATTTTGGAGAATACCTTTGTAACACTATGTAGCGCTATGATAAAAATGTTGTCAGGACTACAAGCTGTAAAAGAGTGAAAATATTATGAGCTTCAGAAACCGTAATAACTTGGATCTCTCACAACAATTTTTTTGTGTAATGACAGCAAGAGTGTAGTCATTAGATTCAAGAGTTAGATAAAAAGTTTTTAAAAATAGTTTTGCTTTATTGTTGTAAAAGGTAATAAGATCAGATCCACATATGGGAGATGGAGTGTTGGATCTTTGGTAATAACAATTCTCAAGATTTTCCAAAAAATGGCTTTTAGACTCAAATGTATTATCTTTTGAGAAATAAGAGAATTATTAATCTGAAAGAACTATATATGACACAATATCTTTTTTCGTGCCATTTTTTTTATAGGGTTCTAAAAAGAGTTGTATTTGTGAAAAAAATTGAAGAAGTAGTTATAAAATAGCAGCTGCATAAGAAGGAGAAAATCAATAGATTGAGGCTTGAAACCATGAGATTGAGGTTTGAAACCAGCAAGAATTAAAAAGATTTTAATGTTTACAAAAATCCAGGTTATGTCCTAGGTGCAATTTTCAATCAAAACTTGAAAGACATTGGCAAGGACCAATACAAAAAAAATTGTGGAAAGCAATCTAAAGATCGTAGTAAGAAATAGAATTATAGAATTAATTTTTAGTGTCAATCATATCATGGTCAATCATATCATAAATCAAAGAATGAAGGTATGAGATTAGGGTTGCTTAAAAAATGAGTCACAAAGTTAACTATTTGAGAATAAAATTAATGGTATTCAAATTTGATGTTAAAACATAGGTAAATTGATAAGCTTCTAACTATTGGTCCAAACCAATCATGTGACAAATATGTTAATTTCTTCAACAATCTGAAGATAAAATGTTTAAATTTAAACTAATCAGAGTAACCAGTTGGGCTCAGAATTATTAAACTGAGTTTTATGGCTTGTTTGGAGACCTAAAACTCAGTTGTTTTTTTGTGAGCTCGAATAATAAATATGACTTTCTTATACTAAATTTTTTACTATGATTAATTAAAGTTGCTTGACTATAGACAACTAAAAAAAACATGCATATAAAAAAAAGCAAAAAAAAAAGGTTGGAAAAGTTGAGTGTAATTTATCAAAATTTCTCAATAAATGATAGTATATATTTTCATTTTTTTAAAAAAAGGTTTTTCTAAAATTTAAGAAAATATCTGATTTAAAAAACACATTAATAAATATATTTTTTGTTTATTAATTTATATGTTGTTCATTACACATGAATAAATATATTAGTGTTTACATTCAGCGAGTAGCAAATATTGTTAAGAGCATGCAATGCTAAGAAATTTTTTTAAAATTGTTTTGAATACAATAAAAAAAAATTTTTTTTTTTTTGATAATTTATGGTTAAAAAAATAATTTAAATTTATTGTGTGAATTTTTTGATCAATAAAATATAAAAAACTTATCAACATATTTTTAAACATATTATTCACTATTGTTTAATAGTAATTAATATTAATAATAATAATCATTTTAATTATATCAGTAATAATAATCATAACAAAAATAATGTTATTTTTGTTATTATTATAATTTATTTATTTATGATACTCTGCTATTTAATTAATGATATTCTATTGCTATCAACAAATTTAAAACTTTATATTTTTTTTATTTCTAGCTCAATCACATTACAAAATGACAAATCAACTAGTTCAGCCTCAGCATTTCTGCGGTATTTTACATTGCTGCGACCAATTAAAGCTATCCAAAAAGTAAAGAAACTAAAAGTTGTTTATATTTTTTACTTTTTTTATTTTTTTTATTACAGATGATTTTCTATTTTATTGTATTGTGCATTTGTTACTTTGTTTTTGTATATTCTGTAACTTTGATTATACAAAACTTTTTTATATAAAGCCAAATGAGAATGGTGTTTTAAGCTAAATTCCAGAAATAATGCAACCTACTAACTATTGTATGTTTATCCTCAAAAAAGAATGTTTTATAAAATATTGTGGAAATTAAGCTCACAAAAAAATTAAAATAGTAAGCGGTTGTTAGTTCTATTGACTTGTTTTTATGAAATCCAATTTGGAAGCTGTGTACTAGAATATTTTGTACTGTGTAATAGAATTTTTTTTAAGCATTTTTATAATTAAGAGTAACTAAAGTTTTTTATTTTTTTGCATCATATTTATAAGTAAACTTCCTCAAACACCAAAAAATCTCAAATCCTCTTCAAGAAAATCTTTATATGTACTAAAAGTTACATCTATATTTAAATAGTATTTAAAGTATAAACATAACAAATACTTCAAAACATTTTTTTTCATTTAAAAAGTATTTATTTTAGATTATTTGTTTATATGTTGTTATTTTTAATTGTAGATTGTTTTTCAATGCATGGTTTACTCATTAAAAAATGATGCATTTGTTTTGATTATTACACTTCTGATGTTGTTTATCTTTGCTTGTATTGGAGTGCAGCTTTTTCAGGTAAATTTGTGTGTGTGTATGTGTTGTGTTGTGTTGTGTTGTGTGTTGTGTTGTGTTGTGTTGTGTTGTGTTGTGTGTGTGTGTGTGTGTGTGTGTGTGTGTGTGTGTGTGTGTGTGTGTGTGTGTGTGATAGGGAGGAGAGCAAATTATTAAATAATAACAATTGATTATACAGTAAGATGACTCAGAGTTTCACGCCATAAACAATCATCAGTTGCTACAAAACAACTTTAGCAACAAAAAATATTATGCCATGTCCACTTTGATTACATTATATTTATAATTGCACAACCTCAAAAGTTAATTTGAGAGTAAATCTACAAAATTTTTCAAATTTATGTGGAGTATATTTAAGTTCTATAATAATATGGAAAAAAAAAGACTCAACTGTCATGCAACCACAAAGTGCCATATATATATATATATATATATATATATATATATATATATATATATATATATATATATATATATATATATATATATATATATATATATATATATATATAGAGAGAGAGAGAGAGAGAGAGAATAAAAAAATAAAGAAAGTTCAAAAAGTTCTTGATTAAGATAATCCACTGTTATTCAGAGTGGTAGCGCTTTTATCAAATACAAAATATCAGATTGAGCAATTTGTAAATCATTGGTGATAATGAGCACACCTTATACATCCAACCAACTTGCAGCTCTAGCAGCCAACTGGCCAAGGTTAGGTCAAGGTAATCATTCAGCTACTTCTCAAAAGCTTGATGCTACGATATCAAAACCAATAGCCACAGTCAGCATACTTCTCACCAGCATATCTGCTCTTTAAAATGAAATCATTACTCTAAAAGCATATCACTCTCAACAACCAGAGTTAGCACCTACAAGTTTGACCTCAAATCTCAACTGGGCAAGTGCAGTCAAGCACGGTTCAGAAGCCAATAAAGCAATTATCACAGCAGTCAAGGAAAATGCCAAAATTAAAGAAACGAAATTTAAAAGAGCTATAGTTGTTGGTCTTCCAAAATCCTCTGGCAATAATTAGAGGCTAATTCCAGTTTAAATTATGCTCAAAAAGCTTAATTATAATGTTGCTTTTAAAGTTGTTAGGCATTTCTCAAAAAAGTTTAACACCATCAGTTTAACTATAATAGCAGCTGAACCAAATGAATTGATTATCATTGAGTTTGACTCCAATGAGCACTGCAATGATCTCTTATATAATGCAAAACAAATTGCCTGTTTTTGGTCTGGACGAATATAGACAGATTTTAATTCAATAGATGAATTAAAATCTGTCTATATTCGTCCAGACCGTACACCTCTTGAACAAGAAACATTCAACAACTTGTACAAAAAGCGTGCTACAAACCCTTTCCAATTGTCATCCGCAGCAATAAAATTAAATGCATTGACACATCCAAAACAGTTAACATCAGTAGAAGAGAGAGGAACCCATACCTCAAATGGAAATCAGTAGCTGAGGCCATTCAATTGCTCTCAGCATCTTACTAGTTCAACATTTTTAAACAAGGCCAGTTCTTCCACTAAATTATCTAATCTTTCGTGCTTCTACACTAATGCAACCTCCCTCAATCCAATAAAACTCATTGAACTCTCCTTACGTGCAGAAAACAACTCCTTTGACATTATTTTTGTAACCGAGACATGGTTTAACGACCAATCAACTCCCTTTCTTCCAAACTACAACCTCTATCCTTCAGACCGTCTGAACCAAATCGGAGGAGGTGTAGCTATATACACAAACAATAAAATCATTTCAAAACAACTACAGAAATCCCTACTACACAAAAATTTTATTTGTTACTATTCAGAACTTATGGTTTGAACTAAAGCTTCTGAATAAAACTTTGCTTTTAGGCTGCATTTATAGACCTCTATCTTCTTGTATTCTGAGATTTCAAGTGCTATTTTCCATGCCGAAACATCAGTATCAACCAAAAAATACAATGGTATGATCATTGCTGGTGATTTCAATTTCCTAGAGATTACTTGGACTTCTGATTCAGTTTTTTCCTCTAGTAAAATTAGTCTCAGTTCTTCATTTGTCTCTCTTCTTCAAGATTGTCATCTTCACCAAATCGTCACTGTCCTTACTTTCAAACCTGCTAATCGCCCTATGACAAACACTCTTGATCTCATAACTCTCCATATCGTACTAACGAAATCAACATCGATCCTCCACTTGGTTTGTCTAATCAATATCATTGCTCTATCACCTGACAATACAAACTGGCTTCCACCGGAAAGTTATTGCATCTCAACAGCTCTAAATTTATTTACAAAATTGGTAGTTACGAAAAAATCAACAAATAGTTCAATAAGGTTGACGGGTCATCTATTTTCAAAGACTTAAATGTAGAACAATATTACCAAATTTGGCTAAACAAATACAATGAATGTTGTCTTCAATTCATCCCTTGTATGCCGAACAAACCATCCCCAAGTTAACAACCATGGATGACAAAAGAACTTTTATCCCTGATTTGTGTTAAAAAATTGCTGTGGGCTCGTAGCATCATTTCAAAATGGAAAATCACATCCCTGGTTAAGGAATATAGAGAAACTAGAAAGTTCGTTAAAAAATTAAGTTGTTCTTCTCTGAAATCTATCAAATTTACTCTTGCAATAATGATAAGCACAACCCTAAAAGACTATTTTCATACATAAATAGTAAGCCCTCTGTAATAAATCAGATCTCGTCTATGAAAATTACCAGTTCCAGTGAAATCATTACCTCTGACAAAATTAAAATAGCTAACTCACTTAACAATCAATTTCAAGCAGTTTTTAGCAAAGAGCCATTCAATAACAATCTTCCCCATTTTCATTGTAGAACTAACACAATCCTCAACAACATAACTTTTGACACTCAGACCACTCTAATGGAACTCTCATCACTAGATGTATCTAAATTAATATCTCTCACCTCGATTCCATGTAAAATAATGGAGAAACTAGTTGAGAAGGCAATCAAGCAGCATCAAACACTCTTCTATCAAATAGTCAACATGGCTTTTTAGAAAAAAAAGCATGCATTACAAATCTCCTTGAAACAATGAACTTCTTGACTGGAAATATGGCCATAAAACTACCAGTTGACGTCATATTCTTGGATTTTGCCAAAGCATTTGACAAAGTACCACATTAACGAACGCTTTACAAACTAAAAATGTACGGAATTAAAGATAATCTTCTTAATTGGATAAAAGCTTTTCTACTTAACAGGTCTCAACGAGTCATCCTTAGTGACACTTAATCGAATTGGTTACCTGTGACAAGTGGGGTTCCACAAGGATCAGTCTTGGGTCCAATTTTATTTGTCATTTTCTTCAACAATCTGCCGGATGTAATAAGCAAAGAAAATATTTGTAAGATCTTCACTGATGACACTAAAATCCTGAGCATTGTCAACTCACTTGCTGCTCAACTTCAACTCCAATCAGATATTGACCAAATTGTTCATTAGACTAAGTCTTGGCTCATGGAGCTAAATGCAAAGAAATGCAAGGTCATCCACTTTAGCCAAAAAATTTAACTCATTTCAAGTACTCAATGGAGGATATATGCCCTTGTTAAATAACGACTCGAACTACATTGGAAGCAACCACCTCTGAGCGTGACTTGGGAATTCAAATTACTAATGACTTTAAAGTAAAAACCCAATCCATCATTGCTTCATGTAAAGCAAATAAAATGCAAGGCATCCTAAAACACTCTTTCCAATCACGTGATGTTTCTTTATGGAAACAACTCTACTCCACCTACATCCGTCCTTTACTTGTGTTTGCGATTCCAGCTTGGAAACCTCATTTGGTGAAGGATGAACAAACTATTAAGCTAATACAGCGCAGAGCCACAAAAATACCAGATAAACTGAAAAAGTTAGACTACAAGTCTAGATGTTTACAACTTGGCCTGTCTACTCTAGTTGAACGTCGCAAATGAGGTGACCTCATCCAAAAAAAACAAATTTGTTAATAACATTGACATAGTCAACTAGCACTTTTTCCTTATCACAATTCCACCAAGAGCAAATCACAGAGAAAGACTTCATCTTTCACTTTTTTAACAATCACATTGTCAATGCATGGAACATGCTACCAGATAAAGTAATCAATTCTTCAACTTTCAACAGCTTTAAAACGAGCCTCAATAAGCTCTAATGTTAATACAGCTCGCAGCCTTCCTTAGTAAAAATTGCAATATGAGCTTCACAAAAACTAACTGTAATCTGACAATCTATGATTTGTATTTTATCAATTATATATATATACGTATAAACGTATATATATATATATATATATATATATATATATATATATATATATATATATATATATATATATATATATATATATATATATATATATGCATATATATACATATATATATGCATATATATATATGTATATATATATATATTTATATATATATATATATATATATATATATATATATATATATATATATATATATATGTATATATAAATATATATGCATATATAAATATATATATATATATATATATATATATATATATATATATATATGTATATATATATATATATATATATATATATATATATATATATATATATATATATATATATATATATATATTTATATATGCATATATACATCTTTAAATTCTTGCATGAATTTAAATTTCAGGGAAAACTTTACCATTGTACTGACTCAAGTAAAAGTAATGAAGTAGATTGCAAGTAAATAATTTTATCAACATTTTTTTTAATTGTTGTTTTATTAAAAAAAAAAATAGTTTTCTATTTCTTTGTTTTTAATTTAGAGGCAGTTATTATGAGTTTTCAAATTCTGAAACTGACAACATAATAAAAACTATAAAAAAGGTAAATTTTTTTTTTGAAGTGTTTTTTTCAGTTTATTTATCAGCAATCTAATATCAATTTAAACATTTTATTTTTATTTGGATAATTTTACTTTAAAATAATATTTCATGCAACTGTAAAGGGTGCAGGGAAAAATAAATAATAAAGCTTAATAATTTGATTATTCCAAAAACTATTGTACCAAAAACTTTCTTAACCTTTTGTCTTCCACAGTGCAAGATTTCAATCAAGATCAATCATTAGATGATTAAAACTTAAGATAAATACATTGGATGATTAAGTAAAACTTAAGATAAAACAGTTAGATGATTAAGTTAAGCTTAAGATAAAATCAGAGTCGCAAAAAAACCTTTTTTTTTTTTTAAAAAAAAAAATGGTTTTTTTTGGTTTAAACTCTTTTTTTTTTTAAAAAAATAAGTCGTGTTTAGTCAACTTTTTCAATTAAAAAAAGCCGTTTTACTTAAGTAAATTATATTTTCTATTAAAATTTCTGCTGTAATTCATCAACCAATACATCATTATTTAATGTTCTATATATAAAAATAAGCTTTGCTGCTTTTTTTACTCCAATCTTGTTTCCTAACTTGGAATAAACAAGCCCAAAAGTTGAAGTAAGTTTTTCATGTCCAGCACTAGAAGATGGTACATTTAACAAACCTTCAATATTCATGAAAATGTTGCAGTCCAAAGGTTATAGAGATTTCCCCCATTCTATTAGTGATACATTTTTTTAAATAGATACACTATACAAATAGCTTTTATCAAATTTGATCCAGCTTGATGATTATTTTGTATATATTTTATTATCTGTGTAACATGCTTGCTCACATTTTCAATGTTAGGATCATTTGCTAAGAGATTTAGCATATGAGCAGCACACTCATAAGTAATTATCCAGATACCTTCTTCAGATGAAGATACTTGTCACACTGATTTTAAATTAGCTGCATTTTCAGTCACAAAACTTTTTACTGTTCACTTTTTACTTAGCATCCAAATTGATGTATTACAGATTATTATTGCTTTATTTTTTTTTCTTTATGCTTTATTGCTTTTATTATAAAGAATATTCTATTGCTTCTCTTGTCAATTGTGTAAGATATAAAACAATGGTTACAATAACTTCATAAAAGTTTTATTAAATTTTATTTATTATTGAACTTAAATATTAATGTCTTAAATGTTTAAAATATCTATAGTAAATGTAACTTATTTAATGTACGCAACTTTTATTATATAAATATTTATATAAATATATTTATAAAAATATATATATATATATATATATATATATATATATATATATATATATATATATATTCAATCATTAGGTTTACTGTAAATATCTTTTTTATATTTAAAAGGCATCTTAAAGCACTGTAAAAATTATTAAACTTTAGTAAAAGTTAAATGAACTAATTCTTAATAATAACTAATATTTAATAACTAATATTTAAATCAAAATTAAAGTAATAGTAAATACGCATAGTAAATGCTTGATTCAAATAATTAGTCTTCATGATATATTATTCTAATTATTACACTAATTATTGTCTATATTATATATAGACAATAATTATTTGAATATATACATAATATTTTATATTATATATAGATATATATTTTATTATATTGCATATAGATAAATATAATATATTATTATATATAGAAAATTTGCCGCAAAAGTATTTAAAGAAATGTCTTTTACAACAAGACACTATTTTGAATCAACTCATTGTCTTTGGATAAAACACAACGCTGGTTTACTTTGAATATTTCCTGAATATTTAAAGTTGTTTAAGAAAAAATTAGTTTGGTTTAAATTGATATTTTTTCGATTGGTTTAAACCATGGTTTAAAACATTTGGTTTACACCTATCAACCCTGGATAAAATTATTAGATGAATGAGTAAAATTTAAGATACATACGCTAGATGATTAAGTAAAAAAAATAAAAATTAATAAAATCTATGAATCATGCTATATTTATTTTTTTGTGCAGGTAAATAAAAGGGATTGGACTAATGATAATTCAAGTTTTGACAACATTTTAAGTGCAGCTATAACACTATATATATGCTCAACAGAAGATAATTGGCCAAGGTAAACCCTTATTTAAATGATATTTAAATATGTACACATATATTTATATAAATATGTACAGACATATATGTATGATACTGAAGCCCTCACAACTACCTATTTCAGTATGACTTACTATATATATATATATATATATATATATATATATATATATATATATATATATATATATATATATATATATACATATATATATATATATACATATATATATGTATATATACATATATATATATATATATATATATATATATATGTATATATATATATATATATATATATATATATATATATATATATATATATATATATATAACAATTTTTTCAGTTTTAACAATATGATTATACAATATCAAATTTTGATTATACAATAATCATTTTCAAGTATAAAACTGTTAAATACAAAAATTATTTAATATATAGTAAAAACAAACAATTTTATTTGTCGGCCAAATAAAAAACATGAATGGTGTGAAAACCTACGTCATAGTATAATGAAAAATATAGATAATAAGTGTGATACATATCCTAAAAGATGTTATGTTACTTCATGGTGAAAGGAATATGCCAATAAAATGGGTTTTTCAACAAGACAACAATCCAAAACACACTGCAAAAGTAGTCAAGCAGTGGTTTCAAGGCAACCACCTATCGGTGATGGATTGGCCGCCTCAATCTCCGGATCTCAACCCTATTATTAATATTAACATAATATTATTATATAAAATATTTTTTTTAAACAATCATTTTATTTTTTTTTTAAATTTTCAGATCTTTAAATGGTTAGGTATAGAAAAAAAACAAAACATAGTTGCTATATCATGTGATAATAATAAGGTTTTAGAGGGCAGACCAGTGAATGTTGTAGCTCGCAAGTTTAGCATAAATTGAATGACCTTAAAAAAATATTGTAATAAAAAGAAGCTCAACCCAAATGAATCTTTTTAGCCTAGTTACAGCAATAAACAAGTTTTTACTGCAAAAGATGAAAAAAGTTTGTCAAGTTATTTACTACTTGCATCAAAAATAAACTATGGATTTTCAACTAAGTCAACACGATTATTGGCATACGAGTTTGCTGTAAAAAATAATAAGATTTGCCCTTCATCATGGATCAAGAACAAAATTGCAGGGATTGATTGGTTGCAAGGTTTTATGAAAAGATAACCAGAGTTGTCTTTACAAACACCTGAAGCAACTAGCTTTGCTCGATCGACTGTCTTTAATCGACACACTGTTGGAGAATTTTTCCAAAGTCTAAAAACAGTAAGAAATCGATATAAGTTTGATCCTTATTGCATATATAATGTTGATGAAACTGGTTTACCAACAGTACAAAAGGCAGTAATAGTGTTAGCAGGTAAAGAAAGTAAACAAGTCGGAAGAATAACATCTGCAGAACGAGGAACATTAGTAACTGTATGTTGTGCTTCAAATGCAATTGGAAACTATATTCCTCCACTATTTGTTTTTCCTAGGGTCAAATTTCATAATTACATAATAAAGGAAAGTCCTCCTGGATGCGTGGGATTTGCAAATCCTTCTGGTTGGATGAATTCAGACATTTTTATAGAATGGATAAAACATTTTGTGAGGTATTCAAACTGTTCTCATGAATCTCCAGTTTTGTTACTTCTGGACAGCCATAAAAGTCATATTTTTGTTAGAGCTTTAGATCTTGCAATTCAACATGGAATTACAATGCTAAGTTTTCCTCCCCATTGTACCCATTAATTGCAACCATTGGATAGAACTGTTTTTGGACTATTGAAAAGGTTTTACAATACTGCGTGTGATAATTAGATGGGCACAAATCCAAGACCTATGACCATTTATGATATTGTTTCAATAGTTCGCGAACCATATACAAAAGCTTTCTCCCCAACTAATATACAGAGAGGATTTCAAGTTGCTGGCATTGAGCCATTTAATCCAGAAATTTTTTAAGATCATGAATATTTACCATCATCAGTTAGAGATCGTGCTGCTCCAAATGTAGTAAACATAATTCTTGTGGAACCTGAAGTAACTGTAGCACATGTTGATGGCATGGAGCCTGAAATGCCTGTAGTACATCATGAAACAAGTTTTTCGAACAAAGTGTCACCAAGAATTGCTTCATTACTCTCACCTGATGTTTTGAAACCTTACCCGAAAGCACCTGCTCAAAAAAGAAGTGTTAAAAGTAGGCAATTAAAAACAAGGATTTTGACTGATACTCCAATCAGAAATGAAATTCGTTTGTCAAAAGAAAAGAAAACCCTAAAACAAATCAACCAACAAAAGAAACTCATCGCAAAAAATTAAAAAAGGGGGAAAAGTTAAAAACTACTTGCTTAGGAACAAAAAACAATGTAATGTAAAAGTAGCATCACGACTTGACTTTGATAAAGAATGATAATATAAAAAAATAATCTTGTAAACTATAGTTCTAATAAAAGTCTTGTATGAATCTTGTATTTTCTTTGTAAACTTAAAATACTGTGTTCTTATAGACTTTATAAGCTTCAAGTTTTGTAAAACTTAACACATATATATGTTAGTAGTATATAACGGGCTTATTTTCATAGATAGAATTGTGGTTATTCTTCTAATGCAAACTTTATACACTGGTTTGTATTAGGTTGTAATGATATGTATATAAATAATGTTTTTTATTAAAACATTAATTTTTACTTAAAGACAGATTGTTCTAGTTTACTTTAGTAATTAATAAGTTTTTATATCTAGATCGAGTTGTTTGCAGTTTTCAAAATACTGCAACGACGATCAATGCGCCCCCATCTCCCCTATATATATATACATACATACATATATATATATATATATATATATATATATATATATATATATATATATATATATATATATATATATATATATATATATATATATATATTCCA